GAAGGCCCAGCTTGTAAGCAGAAACGCCTGCTCAGACAGTAGATGGTAAGGCTTTCTTTCACCAGTCTGGAAGGCCCAGCTTGTAAGCAGAAACGTACCTGATGCGTGAGGTAAGTGCTTAACTGCAGCATCCAGTTCCGCCACTGCTGGACAGCCACGCCCACTCGCTTCCCACTTTCCACCGTTATGGAACCCAGAGGGTAATTGGAAGGCAGCTGTATTATGAGTTCAATGACTATGTCCTCAATAGTATACGTAGCCATTACTTCACGAGTGGTAGCTCGAGCTTTAACCTGCAACACATAAAAGGTCATTTTCTCCCCCCAAATTTCTCTTTCTTTCAAAAAACATTTTGATATTGATAGGCTATTAGCAGCCAACGTTTTCATTCAAGGAAAAAGCAGACAGACATACTCATTTATTTGACATGAGATACTTAATAAATGGCTCTAAGTATCTGGCATATTTTATAGTGATTTGATGACATTGCAAGCTTGACACAGTTAAAACACAAACTATCATCCTTCACAAACATATTCTTCTGACTTCCCCACTGGCAGGCTGGAAACCACAGTGTCATCTTTATCCCTCCTCCTACCTTATCCCGGATATGAACTAGCTGCAAGTCTGCCTAAATCACCAGCACAAAATCTCTCTCATCCTTCTGCTTTCACATTCCCACCAACACTGCCTCACTCAGGCCCTCCTCGCTGCTCTGAACATCTACACCGAGAGTCTTCCCTAACGATTCATTTCAACTCAATCTCTGCGCCAACATCCCTCGCTAGATATTGCCACCAGAGCAATTTTACAAATCCTAACTGACCACGCCACTGCCTGAATGACAACTCTTCAGTGGCTGAACAGGACCACACACCTCAGATGGTAATTAGAGGCCTTTCTCAGTATGGCCCTCGCTCACTGTTCAAGCTGTCTGCTCGCTCGACTCTTCCCCTCAGGAATCCTACTCTGCATGAACACTGGGTTAGTTCTCATTTCTTGGGCAATCGGAGAAGTGACATTCTCATCTCTGTGTTTGTTGTTTTTGCCAAACTACTTTCTATACATTAAAATACTTTTCCCCTCATTTCTCACCTGACAAAATTCTGCCCATCTCAAAGTAATCTTCCTCCATGAAGTCTCACCTTATCCCCTCAGCCAGACCTTTTCCCACTCTTATCCCAGAGCACTCTGCCTCTCAATGGGACACTTTCTGGCTCCCAATGCAAAAATCAATATCCACATCGGTCTTTTCCCTGTTAGAGTTTATGCTATTACAGGACAGGAATCCAACCTTCCTAAACTGTTCATTTCCCAGAAGACTGGCACATAGTACCTGAGATCCAGTAAGTATCCCGATATAAACTTTATACGAACTTATGAGTGCTCAAACTATCTGATGAGTAAATAAATCCATAAAATTACACCACCATTTCAATCCATGCTTTATGTAATTTTGAGATTTAACACGCAAAATTCAGAAAGCAGAACAGACAATTCCTGTAAATTCTGAACCAAGGGCTATAATTTTGTGATGATAATCGCTGCAATGACAAACATAACCAATACTCAAATAACTTTTCTAAAGAAAGTTGAGCGAATACTAACCGTCATGCCATTAAACAGCTGCGTACTTGTTTGCACAGAAGATATTTCTTGAAAAGAAAGCACGTTGCTGACATATTTGCTTGTAAATCTATCTACAATATTGAAAATACGCTTTTCACTGCTATTCCACCACAGCCTAACCATAGCAGGCAAGTCTTTTAACGTCATATGATAGACTGAACAAGCCAAGTGTGGAATCTGGTATGGAAGAGCTGCTGTTTCTGAGGAAAAAACAAATTCTCAGTTAGCAGCATGTATTTCTTATGCAGAATAACAGACCAATATTAGAATTTTCCTTAGAAAATCATCTATGATTCCTCAAGAAGAGTGGCAAGGCTCATAAAACAAACACACCAAAGAAACGAGAACTCCGAGAGCGCCAGCTTCCTCCCACGTTTTCAAAATGAACCATAAGAATGGGAAACAGTATAGAGCGAAACTCCCAACTGACACTGAAGAATCTGCCTATAAACAGCATTCTGTATTTCACGGGAATGACCACAAATAAAATGGAACACGTGTGTTTAAAAAAAGAAGGGACAATTAAAGATTCTCTCCGTTATAACTTATGAAAAGGAGCCTGGCTTCCTTTACTTTCTCCGGAGGTCGCTGAGCTAAGCAAGAGTTGCAGAATGGCCACCTCGGTACTCACGAGATGCAGTCCCAACCTCAGACCTTCAAAGGATTTGTAAAAGTTCTGCCCTTAGGAAATCACGTGTAACACTCTAGTGCAGCTAGATGCATGTGTATCTGTGCCCTCAGCTAAAATGTGAACTCCCAGTGGGGAGGAAATAATTTTACTCATCTCTGTTTGCTCAACTGAAGACTGCTTATTTACAAGCCTACATTATCACATAACAAATTATATTTGTTTCCAGTTCAAGATAACAGCTCCAACACACTAAGCTTCAAAAACTTATTAAATTCTTCACAGCCTTATCCACAAGATCTAATTACATGTCTTATTTAAAGAAACAAGAAAAACCCTTCATTTTAACCTCGCAGTGTCTCACAGCCAGAACCCACGTTTGGGGTTATTCTCCACACCTCCCGGGCAGAGCATGATAGAACCTCCTGTCTGAACCGCGTCTCCAGGAAGACACACACACACACTTACTGACCTCTAATACTCAAACGGAGCTCCTCAGTAAAGAATGTCTTAGGGTCCTTATTTGAGAACTCGAGAACGGACTCTCCAAACGTTGGATTTTCTGGCATCAGCCTGAACAGGTGATAGAGCAGTTTATTCAAACTCTTTGTTTTCCGAAGGTACATCGAATACAGAGCCCGAAGCTGGTGGAGAGCAGAGCATTTATCAATAAACCCAGTTAAGCCAAGATGAGCAGACTGTACAAGAACACTTAATAAACAAATGCAGTCATTTTAATTACATGGAAATCCTACAAAATATATGCCACGTTCTTACTTTCCAAATGTGCCCTTTTTGATGGCACTGTTCCCTGTCCTCAGAAAGCAGAAGACGTTTTCATTACTCCTTCATTATTAGACATATGCTTCAAATACCTTTCTAAAACATGTCTCCCTGTTGATAAGCTCACCTGAGCGGGGTGTCTCTGCTCAAGCCAAGAAACCCTATTCACCATTCCCCACAGAGGATTTGCTCACTCTCCTCCCAAGTCTTCCTCACATTCCTTTCATGCCGTAATCCTTAATCTTTCAAATTCCTGCTTAAAACTAACCCCATTTTCATGGCTGACCCCACCCTATATCAAACACTCCAGCATCCCTTTGGGACAGAGAACACAAACTAGTAGTCCAAAACGTCCTGGGAACTTCTTGTCAACCAAAAGCAAACCCACTGCCATCAAGTCAATTCCAACTCATAGCGACCCTATACGACCAAGCAGAACTGCCCCATTGGGCTTCCAAGGCTGTAATCTTTACAGAAGCAGACTGCCACATCTTTCTCCTGCAGAGTGGCTGGTGGGTTTGAACCACCAACCTTTTGGTTACCAGCCAAGTGCTTGAACCACTGTGCCACCAGGACTCCTTGGGACTTCACACAGTGTCTTACAGATTAAGAAATTTTACATAAAAATATGGATTTCTGGTTTCTCTCTTAAAAATGGGAAAATCTGGCACTGATGGGTCCACCACAGGCACGTGTAGGACCCGTGCTTCAGAACTCCTTGTCCCTCAATCACGTACAGTATGCGTTTGTTCTCATTCACTTTATAGCTGTCCGGTCTTCGCACCTGTTCCGCTACACGATAAATCCCCGGGGGTAAGGCTATTTTGTATCTCCTTGTAGTACAAAGACACTTCTCTGAACACTGTAATGCTCAAACACAAGGAGCAAGACACAGGATTTAGAACTGATTTTTAATATGTGTTGATCAAAGTATATTTACACTGGAGACATCTGGGGGACGCTACCTTCACCAAGTTAACCAAACTTCACATCACCAGTAAGGGGAAACACTGACATCACCGCCTGGGTGGTAAGTCCTCTTGACGAAGACACTTATTTAAAACCTAACCATGAGGAAGCAATCAGATAAATGCAAACCATGTGACAGGCTATAAAACAACTGGCCTGGTCAGCGGCAAGAAAGGGGGAGAAAAAAAGGTAAAGGAATTATAGGTTAAAGAAACTGAAAAGATATGACAAGCAAATGCAAACAAGACCCTTGACTGAATCCTGAATAGAGGAGGGGGAAATACTATAAAGGATATTACTGAGACAACTGGGGAAATTTAAATACAAAATGGGTAACATTATTTCATCAAAATTAAACTTAAGTGTTTAACAGTTATACTTATGTAGAAACATGTCCTTGGTTCTTCTTAGGAAATATATATGTAAATATTTTTGGTAACACATCATCACGTCTGCAACTTACTTTCAAGTAGTTCAGCAGAGAAAAAGGAAATACAGAGAAAGCATCTGCAATGTAGCAACATGTTAGTCACTGGTGAATACAGAGGAAGGGTATATGGATTATTCTTCCAACTTCTCTATAAATTTGAATGGTTCAAAATAGAACGTTGGAGGGAAAGCAGAATTTAAAAATAATTAGTCCATATCAATGGACTTTAAAACACACATATATATGACCCAGCAATTCTACTCCTAGACTCATATACCCAAGAGAAATGAAAACTATGTCCACATAAAAACTTGTACATGAATGTTCATAGTCGTTTAATCCTAATAGCAAAATAAGTGGAAACAACCTAAAAGTCCATCAACTGATGAACACATGATATCTGTTCAATGGAATGTTCTTCAGCAATAAAAAGAGTAGAGTACTGATATAAGCTACAATATGGAGAAACCTGGACAACATCCTGCTAAGTGAAAGCTGCCAGACACGAAGGCTGCATATGGGAAAGGTCCACGACAGGCAAACCCACAGAGGCAGAACACAGATTAGTGGTTGTCAGGGGCTGGGGGTTTGGGGAGAAATAGGAAGTGACTGCTAATGGGTACGTGTTTCTTTTTGAGAAGTTGAAAATGTGCTAAAATTAGGTAGTGATGACGTTCCAGAACTCCACGAATATACTAAAAACACCAAACTGTCCGCTTTAAGTGGGTGAATTTTATGGTATGTGAAACGTATCTCAATAAAGCTGTAAAACACACATACACATCTTTATTCAATTGACACACTAGGGGTATTTTTGTTTTTTCTCATTCAAAAATTTATAGGCACATTGTTTTGGGACACTGGCTGCAATCCCCACAATGTGACAGCACGCTCCCCCTTCCACCCCGAGTTCCCTGTGTCCATTAGTCCAGTTCCTGTCCCTTCCTGCCTTCTCGTCCTACTTCTGGACAGGAGCTGCCCATGTGGGCTCGTGTATCTGAATGAACTAAGAAGCACATTCCTCACATGTGTGATTGTTTTACAGGCCGGTCTAATCTTTGTCTGAAAAGTGGGTTTCCGGAATGGTTTCAGCTCTGGGTTAGCAGAGCATCCGGGGGCCATAGTTTCAAGGGTTCCTCCGGTCTCTGACAGACCAGTAAGTTGGTCTTTTTAAGTGACTTTGAATTCTGTTCTACATTCTTCTCCCACTCTGCCGGGGACTCTCTGTTGTGATTCCTGTCAGGGCAGTCATTGGTGGTAGGCAGGCACCATCTTCACTAGAGGTGTTTTTGAGAAGTAAAAAAACAAAAACCAAAAAAAAAAACACCCATGATTTGGGACCGATTAAAGTTTTGACTTTTTTTTTCAGTTAGTTTCAGAGTTGAGCTCATTAGTGTTATTTACCAGGTTATTCTGGTTTATCCACAGTTCAGTTCAAGTTCAGGCGCAATAAACGCTGCTGCGAAACTCCCCACAGCCCTGCTCCTGCCCCCACTCCAGCTTAATAAGAAAGATGACGCGTGACCATTTTTCTAATTGAATGTAACAACAACAAAAGCCTCAATCTGCTGCAATTTTTTTTAAGAGATCAACAATATTTTAAGAAACTAATGTGAAAGCTCAACAAGGAGCTCCTGAAATAGATGATCGGCAAAAGAGAACCTAAACCTAGCTGAAGTCACAAACAAATGACAGGCCTGAGGAGAAATAAAACTAATCTATTTAACAACGAGATCAATGTTGCCTCTGTGATCTGATACTTCCTTTAGGCATAAAAATGTGAAGAGGCATATACTGATATGTTTGTACCAACATATGGATTAAAAGCAACAACATAAATTAAAATTTAAGAATTCTGAAAAGAAAACCACATCAGACAACACAAGCCATCACACTTTAAATATGAAGTGATAAACGAAGTCTTTTTTGTATCAACCTGTCTAAGAAACCACATAAGTTATTAGGATGACTGAATCAGGGTTTGACTGAGATTCTTTAAGTGGGGATCTGCCTAAAAGTAAAAAAAAAAAAAAACAAAAAAACTGAAGCAAATCTTTCCAGCTCCCTTCCTGGACAATGAGGTCTTTCTTCCCAAAACACTAGACAACAGAGTCATCTAGAGGCTGCTAGAATAACTTGAAGAAAAACAATGATTTGTAATAGGATATTTTCACCCTTTAGAGGTAATGGTTTGAATCATACAGGTAATGCTTCAAAGATCTTTCTCTAAGCACTGATTTTCAAATAAGGTAAATTTCCAATGATATTATCAAATGGAAACTCCACAATAGAGTTAGAAGTTGACCAAAGAAAAAAACAGCAAGATCCCATTTTTTGAAATCATTACTACAGTAGTACGAAATTAAGTTATATAAATCTTTTTTCCTGCAATAAAAGGACTTGGTGACTATATTCAATTTAAAAAAATGTGACCCAGCCACATTCCAGGGAATAACTACTTTTACAAAAATTGTGTGTGTGTTAAGTAAAACAGTGAACAGACAGAGAGGGTAGGGAAGTGGGGACATGAATAAATTTAGTAGAACATCTGAAGTGCACCAGATAAGATTAAAATGTATAGCATGTCTTTTTCACCAAAAGAAAGAGAAGGAAGGGGTTTAGGTCAGGAATAGAGAACCACATACAGAACAAGAGTTGTCACGTGTTTATTTACCTGAGATGAAGCAGCTTTGAAGAAAGTAAGTATTAATTTCCAGGTGAGGAGGTATCCCAGAACGTAACAGAAGTCCTCACTCAGTGGCTTAATGGTTACTATCTGTCCAACGGAAATACCCCCCAAAACATTCTCTAGTAAGTCCTCTTGAGTGCTAAGAAGAGACATCAGCACTGCCGGTGGTGACCTAAAAAATCAATGATAAATCAAAACACCACGATTTTCTTCATAGCTCGTCCTGTAACAAATTAACAGTATTTATAAACATCAAGCATTTTAGAAAAACCTTTCTCTATTTTCCAAAAACCTTTTTAAAAGCCTCCCTTTACAGATCCAATTTTACCTCCTAATTTCACATAATGACAACTGTAGAATGGAAGATAAGCTATAAAAACACAGACTCTGAAAGTTAGTATTTGAGGGAAAGACATCTTCAGAAAACATCTATTTCAGCATTCTGTTTTAGAGATTAAAATAAAAAAAATCACACACCCAGGAGGCTAAACGATTAGTCCAAAGTCCCTTAGCTCGTCGAGGAACTACTGTTGTTAGTTGCCATAGAGCTGATTCCAACTTGTGGCAAAGCCACGTGTGCAGAGCAGAACTGCCCCATGGGGTTTTCAAGGCTGTGACCTTCTGGAAGCAGATCACCAGGCCCGTCTTCCAAGGCGTCTCTGGGTGGCTTCAAACTGCCAACCTTTCAGCTGGTAATCAAGGGCTTAACCACCTGTGCCAGCTAGGGCCTCCATAGAGGAACTATTTGTTGTTGTTGTATGCCGGAGAGTCAATTCCAACTCATAATGACTTTAAAGAACAGAGTAGAATTACCCCATAGGGTTGCCTAGGCTGTAATCTTTCCGTCAAAAAAGCCCTGGTGGCACAATGTTTAAGCATTTGGCTGCTAACCAAAAGGTGCACAGTTCAAACGCACCAGCTGTGGGAGAAAAGACCTGGCAATCTGCTCCAGTAAAGATTACAGCCTCATAGCAACCCTATACGCCCGAGCAGAACTGCCCCATAGGGCTTCCAAGGCTTTAATCTTTACAGAAGCAGACTGCCACATTTATCCCCCGTGGAGCAGCTGGTGGGTTCAAACTGCTGATCTTTTGGTTAGCAGCCGAGCACTTAACTACTGCGCCATCAGGGGTCCTCTGAGGAACTATTAACAAAAACCAAACCCATTGCCGTCAAGTTGATTCCGACTCATGGCAACCCTATGGGACAGAGTAGAACTGCCCCATATGGTTTGCAAGAAGCGGCTGGTGGATTTGAACTGCCGACCTTTTGGTTAGCAGCCGAGCTCTTACCACTGCACCACCAGGGCTCCTAGGAATTGTCAGGGCTACTAAATACTACCAAGTCCTTTATCATTCTATAAAAGAAAGAGAGGATGAAGACTTCAAACTCTGCCATTTCATCCTAGTTTCTGTATTATTGCATATTGCCTACTTACTCAGCAATACGAAGTAGACAGATGTCACAATCCTCACCATTAATCAGAATGACCGTGTACAGGAAATAACTATGCGCTTTTTATTACAAGGCTATCTCTTTTCCGGTAAGTAAACCTAACATTTTCCAAATCATTAATTTATGAGAATGTAGGTTAATTTTCTTCTGTGAACGACTATACTCACTAACACTTTCGGGTGAATTTAGGACATTTCCAAAAGTAACATACTTGTGTGTGTCCTTTAAATGCATCCTGACAGTGTGACTCATGTGGAACAACTGTCTTAAAATAATTTAATTGTTGGCATCTTTGTTACCTTCCTAACCAAAAGGCCTTAATGATGCATTCAAAAACAAAAAACAAAAAAAAAAACCCCACTGCCGTTGAGTCAATTCCGACTCATAGCAACCCTACAGGACAGAGCAGAACTGCCCCCATAGGGTTTCCAAGGAGAGGCTGGTGGGTTCAAACTGCCAACCTTTTGGTTAGCCGTCGAGCTCTTAACCACCGTGCTACCAGGGCTCTGTAATGATGTGTTACTATCCAAAAATAAAAGAGAAACTCCTAATCGTTACATTCAAAGGTTCCCACGTCTAATTCCAACCAGTGCCTCCAGCTTTTGTTCTCACCAGCTCCTTCATCTGCCCGGTGTAGATACGGCCTAAAGCCACGCCCCAGGAAGAGCGTTCAGCCACACTGCCCCTTCAGTCTAGTCAGTGCTTGGTGACTCGCCATCTGTAACTGTCCTATTCTATGTGGCCTCAAAACTCATGCTGACTGATAGTCAAAAATCAAGGTGGACAGTTACCGTATTTTTTCACAAATGATGTGCCCACACATACATATAACGCACAGAAATGATGAAATTAAGTAAAACCATTCTGGCATAGCGCGTCCGTGCATATACCATGTCTGTGCATACACCACACATCTCATGGCACTTCCAGAAGTGAATTTCAGCCTCATTTACCTGTCCTCCCATATTACAGGTAAATCATGTTGTTCTGTTCATTTTCCTTAATTTCCTGCTTATGAGTATAAAAATAGCCCGAAAACATTACTTTTGATCAAAATTGTATAATAAAGGTATAAGCCATGGTCAAGAAGTCATGGATCGAGTTTGGTAATCAGCCACTAATCAGAAAATAAACAATTAAAACTGTGTATTTGTTTCTATTAAGTTGTTAAGACCTCCCTTAAGTGAAGTTTGCATGTGATCAGAAATAGAAATTGAAGTCAGTAACATGTTAAAAAAGCCTGGCACAGCACACTAACAAAAATAACAATGGGGGTCTGCACAGTGGCCAAAACGTATGACACCCGTGTTATATGTGTAAAGATACGGTAGTTTGAACCGAGATTATAAAGGACTTTAACGTTTAGCTCCTAGTCTTATGCAGAAACTATCACCCTGGCAATTCCCATCACTGTCTCCTGGATCACACCTCTACCCCTTCACGTGTGAGCCACTACAACAGTCTCCTCCCTGGTCCTCTTCTCTTCTCCAGTTCTTTTCCACTCCTTGCACCTTTAAAGACCTTACCAGTGGATTCATTTTTGTAATAACTGAGATCCTGTCACTCTTGCTCAAAAAAAAAAACCAACTCCTTTAGCCCGCCTTTCAAAGTTCCCTATTCCCATACTGTCCTCCGATTACCCTAACATCAACCATCTGTTCCCCCTCTAACAACTGCAGTAATCGTCATAAAAGCCACAGGCAGTTTATCACACAATGTCTGTGACATCTCCTCTATTAATCTTGCGTCGTCATTTATCTCTATGCCTTGCTTTGCCTCTTCTTGTGATGCAGCAGAAAGTACACGGGCCCTGGAATCAGAGACGCCTCAGTCCACAACCCAATTCTACTATTTATAAACTGAATTTTGGTAAATTACTTCCACTCTTCTAAGCCTGTTTTCCCACCTATAAAATGAGAGAAACACCAACACTGCGTGTTTTTAGTGAAGACCAGCACCCTACACAAAGCAGTAAGCATTTAAGAAATGCTTATTTATATTCTTTCTATTCTATCTAGCATCAAGCCAATACTCAATTCGATTCAATTCCACCACATTTAATCAGTACTGGTTTACCCCTCAAAGTTATTGCCCAGTCTCTCCTGCTCCTGACCTCTACATAAATTAAAGCAGAAATCTATCCTCCCTAATTCCCTGGCCCTATGGTAAACACTCTCTTGAATGATTGTCTTAAATTACTGAATCATCAAACCCGATCATCTTTTCACAGGCCTCATTCTCCACATACTTTCTGCAACACGTTTCGGCTGGTTAACCAACAGCTACCTTCAAACTCTCTTCTCTGAAACGCAGTCAGTTCTCTCCTTCCACCTCTGTGATCTTTCTTCCCTCGAGGCTTCAATTATGGCTCCCAGCCTAAACACACAGGAAGTCTCCAAGCTTCTGACCTTAGGTCTTTACCTTCAACAATTCCATTTCATGTACCAACCATTCTCTATTCTATACCAAACAGTCACTAGATCCTAAAATACCAGTTCTGAAATCTCTCCACCCTCCACATGGCCCTCATGCACTGTAATAATAATCTCAGAAATGGCGTCCAGGAGGCAGGGACAAGATAGCGGAGTAGTCAGACGCTTCTGGTGGTCCCTCTTACAACAAAGACCCAAAAAAACAAGTGAATCAATTATATATGACAATCTAGGAACCCTGAACATCAAAGGCAGAGTTGAGGAACTGGACTGAGTGGCAGAGGGAGGGAGGGATGGTTCATAAGCAGCGAGGAGTCGCCAGACCTGACCCGGCAGGAGTCAGCACCCTTCAGGCTAGATCAGCTAGCATGAGCGGTGAGGCAAGCAGCAGCGCTTGGGAGGCTTTTTCAACATCAGGAGAGACCCAGCGGCGGAGAGTCCACTCAGACACCCAGGACTGCTGAAAATGAGCGCTCAATTGGCAAAAGTACTTGCGTCTGGTCTACCATGTGGATTAAATAACGCCCGCTTTGGGAAAAACTTCTCTCCCATTTACTTCCCCTGCTCCCTACTCTGTACCAGGTCAAGGACGGCTTCAGCGATTGCCACGTCCCCTGGGCTTGAAGTAGGACCCATCACGTGCTCTGAGCCATTCTCCCTGCCTCGGAGAGGGAACAAATTAACAAACGAGAAAAAATAATCTGTTGGCTCCCCAAAGTCAGGAACTCAGGGTAGGCACAGCTCCTTTGCCTACGCACAGGCATAAGGGGTCTCCAGACTCTGAATGCCTCTCACCCCTGCACAGACTTATGTGGGCCCATTTCAACAGTGTAGGCCCTCATTACCGCAGTACAACAGGGTATATACCTGAAGTCTAACTTCAACTGGTTCAGCTGTGGGGTGACAGGTTCATGACATCTGACACACTCTGCCCACTGGGAAGGTTCCTCATCTGCCCACACTGGGGGCCTGAGGACTGGTGGCTCCACTCATGCCACCTAGCCACCCACGACAGGGGTCTAAGAATAAGTGGTGTCCCCTATTCCTTACAGCCAACAGCACTGGGGGCTCATAATCCAGCTGCAAAACCAACCCACCTATGTGCTCCAGGGAACAGGGACATGCTTTCCTCCCAGACACTTAGGGGCGGCCATCGGCCCCTTGCCTTCAGGAACCCAAGGTTGAGAAGGGACAGTGTTGACATGTTGTGGGGTTGTTAACGATTGTCATAAAACCATATGTGTACTAACTTTAATGAGAAACTATTTGTTCTGTAAACCTTCATCTAAACTACAATAAAAAAAGAAGAATGAAAACACATCCTACCAGAAACTTGGGAACGCAGCAAAAGCAGTGCTCAGAGGTCAGTTTATAGCAATAAAGGCACACATCCAAAAAGAAGGGCCGAAATCAAAACATTAACCCTACAACTTGAACAAGTGGAAAGACAGCAGCAAAAGGAATGGTCTCCACCTCTGTTTGCTTCTTTCTACAATCCGTGCTTCACGTTACAGTCGCGCATCACTTAACATCCATGACATGTTGTGTGAAATAGGATGTTATGCGAAACTGTACTGTATACTTAGCAAAGCTATATGGGATACTGTAGTGCACCTGGCACCATAATCACTTTGTATACAAGAGACGTGAGAAACACATGCTGCGTGTGGGAAGTTGTGGCATTTGCTACATCCGGTTATGTCCACTACCTCCTGATCTCCAATCAGGATTTCTGAACTCTGTTATAACCTTATGGGACCACGGACACATATGCAGTTGGATGTTGCCCGAATCGAAGTTATGCAGCGCATGACTGTATTGCTAAAATAAGCTGATGGTATCTTATGTCCTACCAAGAAATACTTCAACACCTAAAAATTTTCATTTTAAGGCCCTTCATTATCCAGCCCTAAACTACTCCTCCAGCCTCATCTTCCCCTACATCTTGCCTACTCCAACAAAACCATTCATTTATTCTTTGATTCAACAACTGAGTACAACTCTTGAGTATCCTATATACCCAGATATTCTGGGCACTGTGGATATAGTTGGGACCAAAGCCAAAACTTCTTGCATTCATAGAGCTTACATTCCAGTGGAGGAAGATACTGACAATAAATATGTTTAATGGCAAGTACTCAGCATTCCCAGAGTGCTCCCTGAACATTTGTGCCTCAGTGCCTTTGAGCATGCTATTTCCATAATTTACAGTATCTTCCCTGCTCTACTGAAATGCTTACATACCCTTAAAGGTCTCTTCTTTAAGAGAAAGTTTTCCCATTCTGGTGCGTTAATTGTGCTGCCATACTAGCTATCTATCCTTTTTCTTAGCACCTGTCATATGCTATGTCTTGTATTAAGGAGTGTCTTAGGCATCTAGTGCTGCTATAACAGAAATACCGTAAGTGGGTGGCTTTAACAAACAGAAATTCACTTTCTCACAGTGTAGGAGACTGGAAGTCCGAATTCAAGGTGCCGGCTCTGGAGGAAGGCTCTCTGTTGGCTCTGGGCAAAAGTTATTTCTTGGCTCCTTGGTGATTTCATGTGGCTTGGCATCTCTCTTCCCCCATCTCTGCTTGCCTGATCTGTTCTTTTTATATCTCGTAAGAGATTAACTCAAGACAAATACTCATTCCCAAATGGGATTATAACCACAGGCACAGAGGTTAGGATTTACAACATAGCTTGGGGGGGACACAATTCAATCCATAACAAAGGGTAATAATGTCTATATTAGATAATTACATTAGATTCTAAATCCTTAAGGAAAAAAAAGTTTGCTAAGCACTGTATTGCCTGTTCAGCATCAATACCCTGCACAAAGTGTGTGTTCAATAGATATTGGCGGTGATACAATCTTTCCATGGCTACCATGTGGCCAAAGAAAGTTTTATTAAACAGTAGCAAACTAAAACTGTGATTTAAGAACAATTAAGACACATAAACAACGTTTTTGGATGAATTCTAGATTTCATTTATATCTTACAGATGATTTTAGAAGGATCTATCTGTTGAATAAATAATGCAGTAGGAGCCCTGGGGGCGTAGTGGTTAAGAGCTCGGCTGCTAACCAGAAGGTTGGCAGTTCGAATCCACCAGCAGCTCCTTGGAAGCCCTATGGGGTGCTTCTACTCTGTCCTATAGGGTCGCTAGGAGTCAGAATCAACTCGACAGCAACAGGTTTTTTGGTTTAGTCCCCCTTATCCGTGGGAGATGTGTTCCAAGACCCCCCATGGATGCCTGAAACTGCAGATAGCACCAAACCCCATACATACACTATGTTTTGACCTATACCTACATACATATGATAAAGTTTAATTTATAAATTAGGCACAGTAAGAGATTAACAATAATAATAACAGAATAGAACAGTTATAACAATATAATGTAATAAAAGTTATGTGCATGTGGTCCCTGGGTGGGGTGTGATGGGGTGGGACAGGGCAGGAAGGTGCGAGATTTCATCACACTGTTCATTTAACGTTCTCAGACTGCAGCTGACCGTGGGTAACTGAAACCACAGAAAGCGAAACCGTGGCTAAGGGGGACTATGCGCACCATGAATTCAGACCCCTGTGTTGTCTGGGTCTTCTGGGTCACTGCAAGGGAGGTGAATTCTAAGAATTTAACAAAACAAATTATAAAAAAACTTACAGGGCTGGCTCTTCTTCCTCGTCTCCGTACGACTTCAGATTATCCTGATCATACTGTGGTAATTCAGGCATCAATCTGGAAATCAGAGCACTACCGTAAAACATTCTATATTAAACTACCCATTACTAAGTCACGAGCACAAAGGTCAATACTCAGTTTGTAAGGAGTACTTTTTTTGTTTATTGTTGTAGTTTAAGTGAAAGTTTACATTTCAAGTTAGTCTCTTATACAAAAATTTATACATACATTGTTAAGTGACCCTAATTGCTCTCCCTATACTGTGACAGCACACTCCTCTTTTCCACCCGATTTCCCGTGTCCATTCAACCAGCTCCTGACCCTCTGCCTTCTCATCTCACCTCGGGACAGGAGCTGCCCATTTAGTCTCATGTATCTACTTGAGCTAAGAAGCACACTCTTCATGAGCATCATTTTATGTCCCACAGTCCAGTCCAATCTTTGTCTGAAGAGTTGGCCTCAGAAATTGTTTTAGTTCTGGGCTGATAGAGAGTCCATGGGCCATGCTTTCCAGGGTTCCTCCAGTCTCAGTCAGACCATTAAGTCTGGTCTTTTTACTAGAATTTGGGTTCTGCACCCCACCTTTCTCCTGCTCCATCAGGGACTCTCTGTTGTGTTCCCTGTCAGGGCGGTCACTGGTGGTAGCTGGGCACCATCTACTTCTTCTGGTCTGTAATGAGTACATTTTTTAATGCGTTTTTTCCTGAAATAACCATCTGGCCAGGACTATCTAAATACAATTTCTGCAAGGACAACAGTGACCTGAAGGATCAAATGACCTTGCATTCCTGTTATTGAAGTGGGTGGCCAAGTTTACCTTTCTTTTTTTTTACTTTGACTTTTTTTAATGACTCAAAGTCAGGATTAAATATATATTCTATTTTTTTCTTTTTAGACCAGCACAGCATTGAGTCAGTTTGGAGAACTCTTACTTGTACAGCATGTGATATGCAGCGATTTGCACAGGTCTCGCTCGGAAGAGGAGCAGTGGGGCCAACGTATCTAGCAAAGTCTGGAGATGTTCCGGGAAGTTTGTTTTCTGGCTGGCAACAGATCTCCCAAGGAGTTTGTGACTCAACAGCTGATCCTTTGAGATATATGTTAATGTTTCACACATGGGCCTCAGCAGAGCATTCTGAAAGGATGTTTCAGATGGATCTTTGCTTTCTAGTGATGATAAAAAGTAACACATCCCAAAAGAGAGTGAGTAATATAGCTTGAGTCATAGTCAATCAAATATCACTAAAATAAAAAAACCTGACATATGCATTACAGCAGTTCTAATTAGACCTGAAATGAATCTATATTTCAGTTTAATGATTTCTATCTCACCCTTAAAAAAGAAAGCAAATGTTCAAAAGAGAGGTTCAAGTTATGAATAATCTATTCAGGCTATCTGAATTGCTACTATTTTAACTGCAATCGTCTCTGGGTATCTTGCCGTTTTTCAACTCTTGTCTGTAAAACAAAAGCATGTATGATGTGCTGTGACACCCAGTTTTCTCGCTGGCTCTTTTCTTTTACTATTCAGTACTGTTTGACTTAAGTGTCCAAAGTTACAGTTTTGAATTTTTCAAGAAGTCTGTTCCACTTGCCTATGACAGTCATCAACAGAGGTAAAAGCAAACTGTGGATGCCTTGCGAAAAAAATTCTTTCCATTCACTGATTAGATTCTGGGGAAGATCGCAAACGGTGTCCAGAGTTGCGGAATCAAAAACCACACTGAGATCACAGGCCAAGTCACAGCTGACACAGGCAAAGAGCTGTACAAGAGGATCAAAATACAATGCCCGACTCTCGCTGGTTGTCTGAAGAAACAACACAAACCAACAGTTAGGGACTCTTCTCCCAGAACACCACAAGCCAGGGTAAGAAAGAGAAGTCCCTTTTTCCCTCATTTTCAAATAGAAAGCAGTTAAGGTGCACAGACTCAGAAGAATTTTAGATGTGTTAATCAATATAACATTTTTCAAAATTAAATACTAAGAATTACAATCATTAATGGGCAACTTACTCTGAAATGCTTTTTTTACTTCTACAGTTACGAAAGAAAATACGATTAGGTACCATTTACAGGTCAGACACATTAAATACACATTTTTAATCCCCTCAGTAATCCTCCATGTTGTTACTATGTTTATACAACAATAACAAAACTGAGGCTCAAATGAATTGAGTTTAAAACTCCAAGCATCACGGCTGATACACAGTAGGCAAAGCAGAGAATCAAACCAATTCAAACTCAGGCTGATACCCTGCTTCAGAGCCCACAGGTATCACACATCTGGCTGCTCTGGATCACGAAAAGAAAATGAGCTCCCTCTGAACATGCTTACTATCATTAATGTATTACTCTGGCAGTAACAACACAGTACATTTTAGGAGTAACTTAACTGAACCAAAAACAATTTTTCTGAAAACTTGTCATGAAACAATAAGATAAAATCTCAAGGTCTGTGCTGCAAATATTGTATTCAAATAAGCTAATGAAGAGACCATTCTAATAGCAGTTAGGAGATATGGTCACTGAATTATGCTAACAGTCATTAACCCTATCACTTTACAGCTGTCCAAAAATATCAGCTGGGGAGGAGACTGTCTATTAAGTGTTGTGAATGTGGTTTTCCAAGGCTCTAGTTACAATCGACACTTAAAGAATAAGATTACAAAAGCAGTTCCAATGCCTAGATACGCACAAAGACCCGACAAAAGTGACGTGGCGTCGGGTTAATTTACCTCCAGCCAAGCCAACATGGAACACATGATGAAGTCCCACTCACTCTCCTCCAAAGGAGATGACCGATATTTCAGGAACAGGGAAAGAAACCGGATTATTTCTATATTTATACCCAGTGTCTCTGGACTTGCTTCTGACAGATTACTGTGATAAAAACAAAACAAAACAAATGAGCATTCTCAAAAAACGAGAACTAGAACTACCCTATGATCCAGCAATCCTACACCTAGCTATATACCCTAGAGACCTAAAAATAATGATGTGAACAGACATATGCACACCTATGTTCACTGCGGCTTTATTCACAGTAGTAAATAAATGGAAACAACCATCAATGGATGAATGGATAAACTGTGGTAACACACGTACAGTGGAATACTACGCAACCATAGGAACAATGATGAGTTCCTGAAACACACAATAACATGGATAGACTTAAACAGCACAGTGCTAAGTGAAGTAAGTCAAGCGTGTAAGGACAAATATTGTTATGATCCTTCTTTTATACGAAGACAACAACAGATAATACAGAGAGACCCATGTTCACTGGTGGTTACCAGGGAGAGGTGGGGTGGGGAGTACGCTTTAGACCGTAGAGACTGATTTCTGGTGATGGACGTAGTGAGCACGGCACAACCACAGTAAAAACAAAGGTTTGCACACGTACGGACGGGTATAGGCAAACTGGTCTATGGGTAGGTACAGACGTGTACACAGGTGAGAACAGACAGAAGTCCCTAGAAACCAAAAAAAACCCATTGCAGTTGAGTCAATTCCAACTCATAGCAACCCTATAGGACAGAGTAGAACTGCTGACCTTTTGGTTAGCGGCCGAGCTCTTAATCGCTGCACCACCAGGGCTCTGAAGTACCCACAGGTACGTGCGGACACACCGCGCCACCGGGGCTCTGAAGTACCCACAGGTACGTGCGGACACACCGCGCCACCGGGG